CCCCTGCAGGCTGAGCCAGGCGGGCCCCCCTCGCCTGGGCAGCCGCCTCTAGAGGCGAGGGGGGATCGTCGTAGCCCTCCTCGGCGCAGCGGCGCGGTCGGCCGCTCCCCGGTGTAGGCGTGGGAGCGAGGGATGCGATAGTAAGGTACGCAGGCACAACGGCTGCCCTGCGCATTCTCGGGCCGCCGTGGCGGCAAATACAAAGCGCTGCGATCTCAGGCAACGCCGTTGGCTCCAGCAGCCCCTGGGTGCCAAGAGCCGGCTGTCGCGTCAGGCCTGTCTCTTTGGGTGGCTTGGTAGCGTGCTTTGCACCAGGCTACTCGGGAGGGATTTGTGGGGCAGAGCGCTGTGGCTACAGTGGGGCACCGCGGCAGAGCCCCGGCGGGAGTTCCGTTTTCCCTCGGCCGCTGTCAACATCTTCGGCCTTGGCTGTTGGCTAGCCAGCTGCAGCAGCAGCCTCCCCTCCACTGAAGGCAAGGGAGCGGGCTGTGTTGGCTAGGCTCCTCATCACATGCTCACGAACAGTGACGGGATGCCCCCCCTTTGGTTACTGGGGAACACCATTAGCGAGTGGGGGTCATCCTGTGTGAGTGTCGCGTTTTTCCCAGGCGTAGCGGGCCGGCAAACCTTCTTGACAAAAGACGCACATCCTGCTTGAAGCCCTGTTGCCAAGGCCTTGGCTCTTGAACTGCCTGCCCGAGGAGCGTGGAGCGCTGCCCTCAACGACATGACTACATGATCAAGTAATTACTGCACCAACGCAGCCATGGCGGCAGCTGCGACGGGTCGCGCAAACAGACCCCCTGTGCCAACAAACTGACGCAGTATCCTTCAAAACATTGAGCGGGTGGGTGTTAGCACCCGAAAGGCTTGAGCTCGGTTGCTCAGGTCCAATGACTGATCAGGGTCCAAACTTCCTGGGCCCGTGACACTGAAATCTCATCGAAAGCTTCATCACATGTTCGGCTTCTGCAGGATCAGCACCAGGTGAAGGACTTTCCTGTGCTGCCATGAGCTAACTGCACGTTGCTGCTCGTCGCGAGTCATAATTCGTCCGCGGTTATCAGCGAGGCAATGCCGCCAGCTGCGCCCAGGATGCGGTGTGTTCGGAGGTCCCTCGTGAGTGTAGTGGTGGGGTTGCTGCTGGTCAACATGCTGGGCTGGACCACATGTGCCAGGTGCGCAGGCAGAGGCACGCCCACCGTGGTGTGTCCCGGGGCAGACGCTGGGAGGGGGCGCAAGCCGGGGGCACCCTGGTGGTAGCTGGCTGACCAGCGCAAGGCGAATGATGTTGCTGCTTGCTACTCATGCCCAGCTGGAGTTTTCAGCCAACGCGCCTGGCCGTCATGCTGTGCACGAGCTTGCATGCATGTCTGTCTCCGCTTCAGCTGCCTTCACAGCTATGACAGCTTCGCAGCTGCAGCCACTCATGCGTATGTGTACAGCCAGCGAGGGGTCTTCAGGAGGCCCTCAACCCACCTGTGTGCAGGTTGCCACTGTTCTGTGCACTGCATCAAGGTCTGCGCACAACTCACGCTTGCTGACCCCCCTGTTAACTTCCCATCGCAAAAACTCGCACCGTGCAGCGCGCAAGCAACCCCCAGCGCTCAAGCGACCCCCAGCGCTCAAGCAACCCCCAGCGCTCAAGCGGCCCCGAGCGCCAAAAAGCAGAGGCTGGCAGTGGTGAGTGCTGCGCGCGTGTCATGTAGGGCGTTTGGTGTGCTTCCGCGCCCGTACGATGCAACAACTAGCAGGAGTCAGCATGGCCCTGGCGTGCATGCGTGTGTGAAAAAGGATGCCTACTCACCAGCCTGTCGCACCCCGGTGTGTTTGGCACACAAACTCAAATGCATGTGAGCTTGCGTCCACACCTTCACCATTGATGCGCCTTTGTCGCACATTGTGCTCATGCAGTGCGCGCCCGTTAAAGCCTTGACGAAGTCGTGCTCTTCCAAGGTCAACATAGCCCTAATGGACCAGCTGTGCAGCGAGCTGCTGGCCCCGGCCAGCGCGACGACTGACAGCAAGGTGGGTGCGTGTGCGTACGTAGGGAGAGAGAGAGAGAGACTACGCTGACGCCTCGCGCGGCTAGAAGCCACGCTGCAAGCGGCGCCGCGTCGGGTTAAGGAGAGGGGGTGTGCGTAGGCTCAACATACGTGATCGTGGGCGGTGTCGCGCGTGCATGCATGGCCAGGTGTTTGGCAAGTGCTTATCATGAGGCAGGCGCAATGATGTACGTATGAGATGGTGGCGTGCTTGTGGATAGGGTCCAGGAGCTCTCCCCCCACTGAGCTGCGCCAAAAGCACCCCCGCTACCGCCACTCATCAGTCAAGCCATGAATACCACGTTGATACCCCTGCCTCTGTGCTGCTTGCTTTCCCCCACCCCCCTAGGACGCCACCAAACTTCACTACGGCTGTGGCGCAGCCACCACTGCCCAGGTCAACAAAGTGTCCAGCGACCTGGCAACCCTTGAGCCCAAAATCACTGCGGCCGTCGCCCAGGCCAGCTCTCTGCAGGCCACTGTCACCCAGGAACGCAACCAGACGGCAGCGCTGCGCGCCGAGGTGGACGCGTTTCGCGCGGCTATTGCAGCGCTCTCCACTGCTGGCACACGCACTGCACAGCAGCTGGCCTTGCTGGAGATCGCAAACCAGACCGCTGCTCAAAGGATTGCGGCGCTCACTGCCACTGTGCAAGAGCTGCAGGCGAACGTTATCGACCCAGCCAGTGTGACCCAGCAGTTTGCCACCCTTGCATCGACGGACACGCGCACGGCGCAGCAACTGGCCTTGCTGGAAGCTGCAAACAACACTGCTGCCCAGCAGATCGCCGACCTTGCAGCAGCCAACTTGCGCAACACGCAGCGGCTGGCCTTGCTGGAGGTGGCAAACCAAACAGCCGTCCAGGAAATTGCAGCCCTCAAGTCTGCGTCGCAGCAGTGCACCTGCGGTCTGGAGCTTGCAGCTGTCAACACGACCCTGGCAACAGTCACGTCGCTCCAGCGAGCGGACGCAGCGGCAATCTCCCTGACCAACGCGACAGTAGAGACCCTCAGATCTGCTGTCGCAGCAGATGCGGGCAACCGTGCGTTGGTCAACACCACCCTCGGCACCCTGGCAGCGACCGTTGCCAACCTGTCGGCCGTCAACTTCACGAGCTTCGTCAAAACCACAGACCTTCAAAACATCGATGCGGCGACTCTGGGAGGAACGCCTGCGGCGCAGTACCTGCGTGTGCGCGTAGTTCTATTTGCTGAGAGCACTACGAGGCGGACGGGTGCCTTGGGTGGACGGAGTGGTGCCGACAACCTGTGCACCATCTCCGCTGCCCGACCTGCCGGGCTCGCGCGGGTGCGTGCGTTCCTATCGATATCTTCAACCGACCAAATCAAGGACTTTCCAACATTGTATGGGCTTCCCACATCGCTCCCGATCACGTCTCCGGTTGGGACAGTAATAGGTCCCAATTTCCCTGACCTGTTTAACGACGCTCACCAAAGCTCCTTCTTTGACGCAAAGGTGCTGCCACAATCGTTGCCTTGGTGGAGTGGTAGTTTTGCAGATGGTTCTGCAGCCACCACCTGCAATGGCTTCACTTCTGACGCCAACTTAAGACTAGGAGAGACTGGGGATGCAGCCGCCATCGGTTCTACTTGGTTGCAGGGGTCCGGTGGCACTGGAGCTAGTTGCGGGACTTCAGCTTTTGTTGTGTGCATTGCTTTTTGAGTGCACCTTCGGCTGATGTATGCAGGTGGCACATACCGTGTATCTGTTCATGGTTCTGCAACCGCCCATCGCACCGGCCACCCAGAAATACGTACAACGCACCTTTTCCACAGAGCAATGCATTTCGAGGCAAGCTGTTCTCTTAAACAGCCTTGATGGCTGGTGCAGATTGCACATTCTGTTGTGCACTGCCCCTGATGTTGGGGTGCAGAGTGACGCTGCAGTGTCGCAGCGGCATCTTTCGATTCTGGGTGCCCCAGCAATTTGCCCACTGCATGTGCTTTCACTGCCCTGCCACCTGCACGGGCAGTGACACACACCCAAGACGAGTCACATGCACGCGCATCTCCTACGCTCTGTGCATGCACTCAAAGCCCTCAGCACTCAAGCTTATACTTGTTTTTTGTGCCGCGCCTGCATTGACGCGGGTGGTTGCCCTGGTAGGCCTCGGGCATACATGCTGGCTTTTCCTTAGCGCGGTCGGCATGTTGTGTAAGGTAAGGCAAGTCTGCCCGGCTGCACCGCCGTCATCCGGGGCAGAGCAGTCGATGCGATGCCTGTGATCACGCGAGGCCCTTCGGGCACAGTCCGGTCGCCGCCCTTGGCAGCAGCAGTGTAGGCATTGTGGAGCAGCCGTTATGCTGCATGAGTTACGATAGAGCTGCTGCATGCGGCGCAGACGATGGCAATGAAGCGAGGATACTTGTTGAAACGCCCTCATTTCCAGTTGAGACTCTGCGCGCTCAACCATGATCAACGGCCTGGCACAGCCGCAGCATGCCAGGTCTTATCGCAGGGCAACCCAACCAGGCGCCGCTGCGTCGCAGTTCGCAGATCTAACCTGAGGACGTTGCTGCGTCCTCAACCATTGCCTGGGGACGCCTCCAGCCGTCTCCACCCCAAGAGCTTTGGGTTACGTCAACCTACGTGGCGCCCAAGGTGACGCCGCATAGCGAAGCTCGATAATATAGCTAGCTAATGTGTTTCTGATCTTCAAGGCAAGTCTACAACACTTGCACACCTCCACATACCGTTTAATCAATCGATTTTCGAAATCCTGGCGGCCCGTCACTGGCCTCTGGCCGCGACAGCGCAGGGGTTGTACGTGGCCATACAGAGAACGTATTAGCTTTCTAGTTGCGTAGCAGCAAATATGCGCATTTGCGGCATGCCACAGCAGTCTGCGCGGGCGCCAATGCTCGCAGCCTGCCGCCGCCGCTGCTGCTGCTGCTGCCAGGCGCCCTCTCGCCCTCGGCTGCCACAGGGCAGTTCGCCCTGCACGATTGCAGTCGCCCGCCCGCAGTCACGCTGCGCCGCAGCCGCGCGGGACGGCGGCGGCGACAGCGGCACGGACGGCGGCGGAGGTGGTGTGCGCGCACGCCGCGACCTTCGTCAGCTGCGGCGGCAGCAGCGGCGCCAGGACGAGCCCGAGGAAGCTGCCGCCCCCATTGACAAGCCCGCCGAGGCTCCTGCTGCTGCTGCTGATGATGATGCGGGCAGCTCCAAGCAGCAAAGCGGCGGCGGCGGCGACGAGCAGGGGGGTGCGGAGGATGGGCAGGCGCTCCGCCCGCAGCGCGGCGCCCGCACCGGCCGGCTGGAGCGGCGCCGCCGCCGCGCCGCGCCCCGGCTGCCGCCGGCCCTGCGCCCGGACGACGCGGGCGTGGGCGCCACCACGGCCGCGGGGCGGGCGCACGCGGGCTCAAAGCAGCAGCGGATTGGGTTCATCAAGACCGGCGGCGGCGGGGCCAGCACGGATGAGGAAGAGGATGAGGAGGCGGTGATTTCGGAGTCCCTGCTGCGTTTTGGGGAGGAAGAGGGAGAAGAGGTTGCAGAGGAGGCAGAGGAGGCGGAGGAAGGGGAAGAGGCGGACGAAGGCTGGGATGCAGCGGCGGAGTCAGCGGTGGCCGCCGCACGCGGCGCGCAGCAGCAGCAGCAGCAGCAGCAGCAGCAGCAGCAGCAGCAGGGGACGCCGCCGCAGCAAGGGGCGCGGCAGCAGCAGCAGGAGGGGCAAGGCGCGGGGCAGGGGCAGCAGCAGAGGGGGCAGCGGCCGGAGCCGGTCGTGCTGAACGAGCGCAGCCCGATGTACGTGCCGGTGCTGACTGATGAAGACCTGGCTGCAGACCCGCCGGGCCACAGGAGCGGCTACGTGGCGGTTATTGGGAAGCCAAATGCTGGTGGGCGCCATGTCATATTGCGAAGTCCCTTGCAGGCGCTGCTTTCGACAACGGCCGCGCTTTGCGCGTGGAGCCCGTCGGCGCGCGTGAGGGCTGCGATGCATGGTGTGCGGGTCTGCGTTGCAGCCGGTCGGGGCCTCTGAACGAGCGTCCAATTCACAACGGACTGCTTCCCCTCGGCCGCGCCGCCCGCGCCGCCTCGGTGCAGGCAAGTCGACGCTTATCAACGCCCTGGTGGGGCAGAAGCTGTCCATCGTGACGTTCAAACCGCAGACGACGCGACACAGGGTCGTCGGCATCGCGTCGGACACCGACTACCAAATGATCCTGTTCGACACGCCCGGAATCATGCGGGAGCAGGTGCGTGCCTGGTCATTTGATGGGAAATGGGGGCGCGTAAACTCCTCGCTGGCGCGGTTGGGGTGGAAACTTTGAAGGAAGGTCACACGCTGAGCTGCAGTGGCCACTGGGTGGTGTGAAACCACATCCGCACGCGTGCCCGCACCTGAATATATGTATATCAACACATACACATACACATACACGTACACATGCACATACACACACACACACATGCACATGCGCGCACACACACATGCATGCACACAAACACACACACACACACACACGCACACACACACGCACACACGCACACACAGGCTCTCGCGCGCAAACGCACACACTCTCACACTTGCACGCGTGTGCACGCGCGCGCGCACACACACACACACACACACACACACACACACACACACACGCGCGCGCGCGCGGGCGCGCGCACATCCCTACATCCCTACAGCGCTCGAAGCTTGATGAGCGAATGATGGCGGCTGTGGTGAGCTCCATAAAGGCGGCAGAGGCCATCATTGCAGTGGTGGACGCGGGTGAGGGGGGCTGCCGCCTAGAGGGGTGTTTGTGTTTGTCGTGTGTGTGTGCATGTGTGTGTGTGTGTGTGTGTGTGTGTGTGTGTGTGTGTGTGTGTGTGTGTGTGTGTGTGTCTTGGTCAGGGTTTGTTTGCAGGACACTTGGTTGACGTGAGTGCGTATCAGCTGGGGGTGAAGAGTGTCCATCCCAGTAAACAAACTTTACACGGTTGTGTCGATGTCATCACATCACATCACACTGGCTATGAAGTTTGAGGCGCTTTGCGCACGGGTGGCGTCTACGTGCCTCCGCCAGATGCGCCCCGCAAACCTCAGTGCCACCCTCTTGTAAGGTCTGCCCTTGGCTTCCCCTTCCTACCCTGCAACCCTCTGCGGCGCCCCCCGCCCGCACCACTGCCCCGGCTGCAACCGCAAACCGTGAACCGCCAACCCCCAACCGCCGACCGCAGCGGACGACCCCCAGGATGCTCTGGCGATGTTCCAGCCTGGGCCGGACTGGAACGGCCCTCCCATGGCCGTGCTCCTGAACAAATCAGACCTGGAGTCATCGGAGTCACTCGAGGCGCTGGAGCGGTGGTACAAGTTCAACTGCAGGCGCGCCTGCGGGCCTGCGGGCGCGGAGGGCAAATACGACACGCGCGTTTGAGCGCTCAGGGACGCTTTTGATGCGATGCAGGGCCTGTCGCAGCACGATATTCGCGCAGAATCCCCCCTGTTTTGCAACGCTGGTCGCATTGCAAAGCGACTCTTGCAACCGCTGGTGGCACCCCAGTGCTGCATGGTCAACACCCTGCATGACACCCCCACCCACGCCAGCACCAGCGCCCGCACCCGTCTAGACCTTTTCCCCTATGCTAGCCCCTCCCCCAAAACTGTTTACATCAACCCGTTTCTTAACCATGACCCAATCCAAAACGCACTGCAGGGCGGAGGAGGTGTTTGTGGGCAGCGCACTCAGCACCCAGCCCGGCGGCCTCGCCGCCGCGGGCGCCCGCGACCGCGGCGGCCGCCCCCGCGGCCGGCGTGATGCGGCTGCGGCGGCGGCGGGGGAGGCGGCGGGTGAAGCAGGGGCGGCAGGGGCCGTTGTCGGCGGCGGCGCGGAGGTGGGGCACGGGGGTGACAGCATCGCGGCGCTCAAGGCGTGGGCGGTCAGCAAGCTGCCCGAGGGGCCAACACTCTACCCAAAGGATATGGTAGGTGCATCAATCCATATTTTTTAAAAAGTATCAGTGGCCTCAGACATACAGATTGTGCGTCGTCCACCCATGGACGCTGCGCGCAACCCCGCCCCGCTCTTGGGGTGTTCAAGCCTGCACGCCCGCAGCTGCGCGCTCCTGCCACCCCCCCCCCCC